TGTCAATACCCAGGATGATGATTCAGGTTTTCAAAAACCCTGAAAACTTCAGACTAGAATATTTTGTTAGACATGAACAGTCAGAAATTGCTATGGCCAGATTTAACATTTTTATGAACACTCCAGAGACAGAAAAAAATTAAAATATCCAAGTTTATAAATATTATATCTATTGCATTTGAACTTTTCTGAATTATTGAAACTTAACTCCACCTTCGCCAAATGGGGCAGAGATCTTGGATCACCACCTGCCTCACAGGTACAAAGTCCTAAATTCAATCCTAGTACCACAAAAAGAAAGAAAGAAAGAAAGAGAGAGAGAGAGAGAGAGAGAGAGAGAGAGAGACAGAGAGACAGACAGAGATCTTAATAGAATTAAGTGGAAAACAAAAGAGCCCAAGTTTTAATGCAGGGGGGGTATGATAGAAATCCATTTAGGAGAGCCAGGGATTTAGTTCAGTGGTTCCGCCTTCTGCATCACAAGAACAAGGTCCCAAGTTTGATCTCCAGTACCAAAAAAAAAAAAAAAAAAAGGTGCTAATTATAGAAATCCATTTAGGAAACATGATCCTAACTGTATCTATATGAAAACTCAATAGGGAAGGTGGGATGGGTAGGAGAAGGGTAAAAAGGGAAAAGAAAAAAATAAGAGATAATGAAAAGATGGAAATAAAGTGATTTTAGATGGGAAGGGGAGGGGGGGTGAAGGGAGGGCAGGGACAAGGGGAAAAAATGAGAACCAAGACGTCATGTAGAGGTACAAGATCCCAACAATGAATGTAACTGTACTGTATCCCTAAAATGTACCAATAAACTCAATTAAAGCTGAAAAAAAAAAAGAACAACTCAGGCCTCACAAAGGTATGCTCCAGAATTCATTCTCAATTAGTTCCTTTGAAAAAAAATTTAAATTTAAAAAGCCAAAAGAATATTAAGCATCATTAAGAAGGCTAGAAGAGGGAAAACTTTTTTGTCATCCCATTCTGCTAAGTGTTAATATCTTATTAACAAAATGAAATGAAGACAAATTAGAAAAGTCAAAAGGGAGAACTATGACATTTCGATTCAATTAACATTTATTGGGAGCCAAGGCCCTATGTCAGCAGTGTTCGAGGTATATTCCCACAAGTTAACAGTTTATAGACAGTTTAAGAAATTTAGAATCGGAATAAAGAGATAAAGGATTAATGAACCTGACTTGAAAAAGTCAATAACAAGATGAACATGAATATTCCTCCTATTAGAACAGAAAAACCTGGAAAGGTGAGGTTGGTGTTAAAAATAACAAAGGACTATTTCACACTGCAGGCAATAGGCAGTGGCTCACAGAAGTCCTGGACATCTCAGGACTGAGCTCAGCACCAAGGACACAGCAGCTGCTCAACAGAGATTTATTCAGAGAAAGGAAAAAGCACATTGCAACTCATCTTTTTCCTAGAGATACATAATGAAAGCAAACTCTTGGGTTTGTTTTCAACCACTAATAGCTGGCAAATCTACAAAGTAAAAGAAAGTAATGACACTTGTATTCAAGCCCTAACCTTTCAGGACAGAATGGTGGATACAGAGATAAGTGTTCTGATCCAGAGAGGTTATTAAAGACCTCTGCATCAGATCACAACCCTCCTATGTCTCAAAAACAAGCATGAGAAAGAAACGAGACATGAAAGTTTGTATTTAAGAGCTAAATTACACCGTACACACTAACAAGCTCAATCACTCACAATGAAGAACTGTAAAGAAGAAAAAGGAGATGTATGCATAAGCTTTTAAATATCTGCTAGACAGCCCTACTTTTATTTATCATTTATTTGATTTTGCTGTACTAGGGTCAGAACCCGGAGTCTTCACACTGAGCTACATTCCCACTTCATTTTTTTTTTTTTTTTTTTTGAGACATGGTCATGCTAAGTCACTAAATTGCCCAGGCTGGGCTGGAACTTTCTCTCCTACCTCAGCCTCCTAGAGCGCCGGGATTAGAGTCATGTGTCACCAACCCAGTGACAATCCCATTTTTTTGAGAGCCTACTGGATCCTTTCAAATTCAAAATATAAGGCCTTAGTTAACCTCTCCATATCTACCATCTCGGCCATGAATTTCTGAAATGAACTTACACAAAGCCAAGGGGTCTAAAACAAACTCTGGCCTCAGCAATTCCTCACAATCATTTCATCAAGCTGGTATTGGCCCAAAATTTCCTAAAACAAACCTGACCACAACACCTCTAATATCCTCTCAATCACAGAAGGTGCTTTATTTTCCATCTCATATCCTATCTATCCAACCCCTCGATCTGTGACCTGGCCCCGGGAAAAGAAATCATCCTTCTACCTCTCCAAGTCTAGGGCCTCCATTCATCCTCTTCCCCCACTGGTTCAGCCTTAAACAAGACAAAGATTTCCTCCAGGAGAGGGAGGGATGGAATGCTTTCAACCCCTGCACTGGAGGGAGGGTTTCCTTCCACAGTATTTCTCTTCTTGACCTCAGGTAATCTGACTTGTTTTAACAACTCCACAAAACTGCAAGCACAGAGCGTTACTGACTCCAAGTAGCCAAGTGACAAACCCTTCCCCTTGTTTCTGGCGCGCTCTGCCTTTGCCTTCCACTACCCAAAAGGAGTTCACTTAGCAGTAGCTGGACCTTAAGGATTTTTCTCCTTGCACCCTAAGTGATTCCTGCCATTGTCCTCCAAGAAATGAGATCAGAAAAGTCTCAGACGATGGTTTTCCCACATCCTTGACTCTATCTTCATTAAACTATTCAACTTTATCCCACAAGTCCAAAAACAAATTCACTAGTCTTTCTAGGATTCCCTCCCACCTCACCTCAATTCTCCTTCCGCACCAACTATATCATCACCACCAATTCAAATTTCTTTTCACAGGCAGCCATAAGGTCTGCTTCCCCTTCCCCATGCAGTAGTTATATTGCAACTCCTCGAGTTAAAATGGTTTTTCCATATTAACATTTCAACCACCATGGTTGCAGGTTTCTTCCTCCTGAGAGTTCAAAAGCGCTGTGTTCAGAGTAAGAAGGTGTAATATGCTGGCTTTGGCAGCACAAATACTAAAATCAGAATAAAAAGTTCTAAGACTCCTCCAACGAGGACTAGCACTAGCTCTGAACTGAAATTCACCTGGGTAAAGAAGGCCTGGAAGTATGAAGAAGAGGACAGGGCTTTATCTCATCCCCCACAATTAGAGGCACACCCAATCCCATCAAGCCCTCCTTTACATAAAGTCCCCAAGCTAGGAAGACCTCAATCTCATGAACCCACTAATAAAGACGACTTTACTTCCTGCTCAAAAGGAATCATACATTACTATTTTAATGTGAAGCAAACAGCCCTTTAATGCTGTTCTAAAAACCCCAAACAAAACCCCTCCCCAGTTGGATTCCACAAGTTAACTCTGACAAAGTACTGCATCTGCTCTAAGGGCCCAAGATTAAATAATTCATGACAAAACACTTGTTACAGATAAATCGCTTTTCTGAAAAGGAATCAAGTATAAACTGGACCAGGTAAGGCAATTAACAATTTGTCCTACAACTGCGCTTCCTCGGTCTCATCAGAGGCTACACCAAGGGAACAGAAGGATTCCGTTCGCTTGGTTTCCTAGGAATCGGGTCGGTGCTGCTAAGAAGTTCAGAAAAGCTTCTCCCCCACACAGCAGTCCAATTGTGAAGTTGTAGGAGCCTCTGGTTTGCTAACCAACAGCTAAGAATAACACTCTACTTTTAAACAAACAAAAAGAGCTGGAAAGTCCTCCAGACCAAGGGTTTGGGGCGAGGAAGGCCAAGGGGCTTCCCGCACTGACCCTCTTACCACTGGACCCCGGAGTCCAATGTCATCCGCGCAGCTACGGCCCGTGAGCCCCTCCTCACAGGGAAGGGGCGAGGGGCGCCCGCTCCGGGAAGGCGGCGGTTCGCAGGTGGCGCGGACATCCCCATCGGCCCCCCACCTACGTTGAACCCGACTCTGGGCCGCGTTTCCGGGTGGGTTCGCGCTCATTCTGAATGAAGAGCGAGGGCGCCACAGGCTCCAGGTCAATACGGCTCAAAGAGGGGGCCGAAGTCTCCGGGGCCTGGGGGCCTTGGGGGGTCGGCGGGGAAAAGGGGAGAAGGGGCCGG